CACTCGCATACACATACACTATGCATATACATATACATATACATATACATATACATATACATATTCATGTACAAATACATGTATATGTACATGTATATGTACATGTACACATGTATACGTTTATTTATTATGAGCATTACATATATATATATTATATATATATATATATATGTGTGTGTGTGTGTGTGTGTGTGTATGTATATATATATATATGTATATATATGTGTGTGTGTGTTTGTGTATGTATGTGTGTGTGTGTGTGTGTACGTTTATATTTACATATACATATATACTAACACTCTGATTTTGATCGTCTGTACTTATCAATAGATACACAATCAAGGCTGAGGACGGGGCCTTTTACGGGCCAAAGATAGATGTTACTGTTACTGATGCGCTACAAAGGAAACACCAAACCGCCACCATCCAACTCGACTTTCAGTTACCACAGCGGTTCAATTTGCACTACATGGATGAGACAGGCCAACGCAATGCACCGGTTATGATCCACAGGTGAGTAAATGTACCTTATTGACTATAACGTAAATGGTTATGATCTATTACTAAGTAAGAGTGAACGTGGTAACTTGACCAAAACGTATCGCAAAAACACTCTCCACTAAAGAGACAAACCAACGCAACGTGCCGGGTATGATCCAAAAACGTGGGCGTTCCTGGTATGTAAACGTACTACACTTGCTTAAATGGAGATGATTGTGATCCGTAGGGTGAGTAAACACTGCTCACCGGCTAAAAGGTAGCGCTTAAACCTAGTTTAACGTGTATTACATGGACGAGATTGGCCAGCGCGGAGCACGAGTTGTGACGCACACGTCCGTTAGCGTGATATACTGAATACAACATCACGTATACAATAATTATTATCAGTGACTACATGAAACATACCTGGTTAAAATTACCATTGTAGTTTGATTGTAGTGAGCTATGCCTGGATAGCGCTTCTGTATGATTAAACACACACACGTACACACCTTAGTTCAACTTTGTCTCCATTGTCCTTAAATAAAGCGCTATGCCTTGGTTATACTATCACACTTTCAGCTGCACTATATAAATGTATACTCAGCTTTCATTCCTCCCGTGCGAAATGCGCAGATGGCTATGCCTGGGTTACGATTATGTATATCCAGACACGCGCATGCCTACATATATACTCAACTCTCACTCCTCCCATTTGAAATGTATAGGGCTATGCTGGGTTCTCTGGAAAGGATGTTTGCGCTCTTCGCCGAACACACAGCCGGGAAGTGGCCAATGTGGGTGTCCCCACGGCAGGTACTTGTAGTGCCCGTTACAAATACACAAACACTTAACACTTACGCCCACGACATAGCTCAGCGACTCAAGAGAGCGGGTTTGTACTCACACGCGGATATCAGCCACGAGACACTCAGCAAAAAGATACAGAAGCACCACACGATGCAGTATAATTATATTTGTGTGGTGGGTGAAAATGAGATGGCAGCGGACAGCGTCAGTGTGCGCGAAAGGGGGACGTACAAGGGCTATGAGCAGCCGTTCACGGAATTCCTAGACAGGGCGCTGAAAGAGGCCCAATTACCGTCTACTACAATAAATTAGGTCTCAATTTGTGTCTTTATACATATAAATCTATACGCAATTATGCAATTTATATAT